ATATCTCCTCAATATATGTTCCATTCTATATGCATCCGAAGAAGTGGGCTGCAGTGCTAAAAATGTCACCTTTTTTAAAGCAGATGGTTATCATCCACCAGCAGTAGGTTCTGACCTGCTAATTGTTATTCAACATTGTACCTTCAAATATATCTCATAGCTTATTTATGTTTTAGTAATTTCAGGAACATTTCAGATGCTGGTTTGGAATAACGTGAGTACCATTGCTCGTAACTAGAACATTTTCTTAGTGGTGTTGTTTTGGGATTTCAGTCCAGAATTACTCACCGCCGATTGAGCTGCTCCATTTGTTGGATTGAACCAGATCTGCGTATTCCATCTGGAGTGGCTGCTGCTGTGGGGCGCTGCCATGTTGTGGTTCGATTCACATGATCCACATAAAATACCCTTCCATGGCTGTCTATCCGAGCTTCCCAGTCTAGTATTAAAAAAGAAAGGAAAGGAGGAAGCCATCAGTTTGAGAAGTTTCAGAAAGCCTAGATGCTCATGAGATACACGTGTATATACATACACACGACCATCAGAGCTGGCATATTGGGTCAGACCAATGGTCCATCTTGCCCAGTATCCTGTCTCCAACAGTGGCCAGTACCAGAGCTTCAGGGGAGTGTACAGAACAGACCAATTATGGAGTGATCTACCCTGTCTTCCACTCCCAGGTTATGATAGTCAGAAGTGTAGGGTTGCCCGAGCATGAGGTCACATCCTTGACTATCTTGGCTAGACTAATAGCCATTGAAAGATGTATTCTCCATCCAGTTCTTTTTTGAACTCATTTATACTTTTGGCCATCACAACATCCCTTGGCAATAAGTTCCACAGGTTTGTTGTATATATGTATGTGTAGTATACACACATACATAAATATTACTTCACACAGAGCCTACAGTCACCCTATGGAATTCACTGCCACAGGCCATCAATAATGAGTGAGACACAGTGACTGTATTTTTAAAAATGGCTGGATAATTCTATAACTATTAATACCTATTATAGTTCTGTTTCTTGAGGTGAGTAATCAAATTACATGCTTTACAGCATAAAAATTTCTCCATGTAACTCTCACATACAGCATTGCACAACTGGCTATATTCATTGTGGATGGGAAAACCATAAGGAATTGGCCACTGGTAGCCAGGATGCTAGGCTTGGTGGACCAGTGATTTAATCTGGTGTGGCAAGTTCTATGTTCACTTTTTTGTTATGTTTTAAAATAAACTTGATAGGTTGGCTTTTTTTTTAAGCTTTCCGAAGGATAATACAGAGCAGCTTAAGGCCCTCTACCTAAAACTTGTCACAGACTGGTTGGACATATTCTCAGAAATATATGCATATTTTTAAATTTTTTCAATCTATCACTCTGATAAGGACCAGATAGCTGAGGAAATTGGTAACAAGATACTGAACCTTCCATCCTCACGTCTCTTGTTGAAATTAGGTCCAAGTTGGCCAGGAGTGTAACCAAAAGCCCCTACCCATCTGATGCTTGTTGGCTTGCATGAAATACACTGGTAGTTAAAAGCATCAAGAGCACTGGTAAAGGTGTTAGGAGTAAGAGGAAATTTAAGAAGTGAATGAGCTAATCAAATTGTAGATAAAAAAAACCTTAGAATTTCTTGAGTGAAGTTGCACAAATTTGATCTGTTAACTACATTATTGTTACATGACGATCCATCAGCTGATGACATAACAACTAAACAGTAATATATATTCCCTCTCCTGGAGCACATCTGTACTCCAAGAGTGGTAAAGTCCACTTTTTTTCCTCTGTGGCTCTGTGTTCCACCTTAGGACCAAGAGTTCTGGGTTCTTTGTGAACCTTCCCTCATACCCTCCAAGAGCAACAGAGAGCTGTGTTTCCTCCTACTGCATCTGGAATCCAACTCCCTGCAACCAGCTATCTTCTTCCAAACACTGTGCCTGATCAGTAAGGAGACAGACAGTGCTGGCCAGAGCTAAGGTGACATACCTTATCATAATGTTATTAAAAATACCTTCTTTATCCATGTGGGTGCCTGAGTGGGAGTATGGGCAAAGGCTAACCAGCACCCAATACTCCAGATTGGAGCAACCAGATAACAATCTGAACAAAATCATGACTCAGTGTATAATCCGTGAACCCTAGGCAACCATGTGCCCTCCATTGAAACCAGCCTATAGGGATTCTTGAAGGACCTTGGTCAGTCAGGGCCTGTTGAGGAACCCTGAATTCCCAGATAACAGTTGACATCTCCTTGAGACATATCAGTTCACACTCCGTACTCTTGCTAATGCCAACCACACATACATTCACACCTCAGCAAAAACAACGTCACACAGAATGCATTCAGGCAGGTGCTACCCACAAACCCAACTGAATGTCACACTGCTTGAAGAAAGCATGTTGCAATGTGTCTGCAGCCATACACGTGGTAATTCAGTCTCTGAGCAGAAAGCATCTAGTCAAACCTAGCAGCAGCTGGATGTGTCCAGTGCTTGAGGTCACAGTGGAAACATCAGGTCAGGATAAAGGAGACACAGTGAAAATTCAGGGAGAGTGTATGAGAATATCTGCTGGGCACGTTTGTTTTGTTGGGTCAGAGCATTGTGCTATAGCATCTGGCCCGAGAGAGTTGTGTGTGCTGATGTGACTATTCCTTGCCAACATACAAACAAAACTCACTGTTGGCTGATGTGCATTTATTTCCCTCCTAAACAGCATTACCATCACACAGGGGAATAAGTAATTCAAAGGGCATACAACACAGAATTTGTGGTAAGATGAATGGATGGCTGCACAGATAAATGCATAGACTGACAGATGGACAAAGGCCGTGATTTTGAGCTCTGTTCCAGCCCCTTTATGTTGCTCCAGTGATGTAAAGGGTCCAAAAAACAGCCAGATCACTGCATGTGGGAATTTCCCCTTGGCAGAGGGTTTCTCTGGGCAGTGTAGGGCTGACACTATGGCCCTACACCAGCCCCCTTATAACTTCAGAGCAGGGGCACACCAGGAGATAGCCTGGGATCAGGAGAAGGTGAGGCCACTGTGCTCTGCTCTCCAATTATCCTGGACTGCCAGATGGTCCCTTTGGGACCACTTCAGCCCATATGTACATTACAGCAGCCGCTGAGGCTGCTCTTACATACACCATGAGCCACACCTGTCCCTGGCAGACCTGCAACCCCAGAGGGACAAAGCCACCTTGCTCCTCTTTACATTCCTGTCTGTGGTACATCTTCTAAATGGTGCAGCTCAGAGTTAGGACCGAAATGTTTTTCTTGGCTTCAGTAGGGTAGGGTTTCCACCAGTAAAAACAACTAACCATTGGATATGTCCATTAGCACTGGCATTGCACCATACAAACTCTACAACCTGATGCATGCTTTAAAATTTTACGTTCACCATGAAGAGTTTACTACAGACACGAAAAATCATGTTAAAATCTAAATAATTCTATTCCACACCCAAAATAAACATAGTCAAAGAAAAATTCCTCATCAGGACTAACAGAATAAACTAAATTTTGAATTCATATTGTTTTGGGGCTATGATCAAGTAAGACTGACTGCAAGGGGAAAACCACCTCACTTTTTGAACCCACAGGTCTCTCAAAAGCCTTTAACTGATTTTCCTGAAACCTCACAAAATATTCTACCATGAGCTAAAATCTGGCATGTGATATTTCAGGGACATGGATTTGGATATGGAAATGTTAAGGTTCAGTCGATATTGTCCTTGTAATGATGGGAAATTATCTTCAACCATAACCATGGACAGACTCTAGTGTCTCTTCATTTTACAAGCTCTAAACATTGCTCACTGTAAACCTGATTTAAAATGAACAATCTCTCTCCATGGGTGTGATTTGGGAGGAGTACGAGGGGGCACTGCCCCTCCCCCAAACTGCATACCTTGAGTAGGCGTGGAATTTGCCCCCCATGCGTGGCCCCGTTGGCCTGGCTGGAGCTGCCCCCCGATTCTCTCTCTCTCTCATTTAAGAGTGTTTTAGTTGTGATTAGCAAGTGAAAAGGGTCTTTCTGCAACACCGGAAAAAGAAAAATCTTTAGATCAGACCTTAGTTTGTACTTCTCATGGGCTTTAAAAATGTCATAGCTTGTACAGGGAGGAGGAAGGGATAGCTTGGTGGTTTGAGCATTGGCTTGCTAAACCCAGAGTTGCAAGTTCAATCCTTGAGGGGACCACTTAAGGATCTGGGGCAAAATCAGTACTTGGTCCTGTTAGTGAAGGCAGGGGGCTGGACTTGATGACCTTTTAAGGTCCCTTCCCATTCTAGGAGATAGGATATCTCCATTAATTTAATTTAGAATTATTTAATTCAATTTCTTTAGCAAAAATTCACATGGCACTGCACACTGAGGAGGGATATATTCAGGGACAATATACTTTACATGTATTACAAGTAGGATATAGTGTAGATATCAAAGTAATGTGTACATTAATATTAAATAAATATGACTCTACTATCAGATGATTGTACTTTTGCTTTTGTGTAGATTAAACTCCATCATAATTGCCTTCATTAGGAGCAATGCTGAAAATACTTACCTTTTGAGGCTGGTGTTAAAAGGGAGGTAGTCTGTATTAAGCAAGCCATAGGGCTGAACTTGAATGTCTCCGATCAGTGCATGGATTAGGGTAAGTCATTTGCATGGCTGCTGTCAGTGTCTTATTAATAGGTAGTCTAGCTAGAAATTTCTCCCCTTCACAAAGTGGTGAGGTAAGATTAGTGGGAAGAGAAATATTTACTTATTACAGAAGTAACTGTTCCTAATTCATCATTCACTGGTAGGCCACACAGTGCCTCTAATAAGACTTCATGGGGCTGAAGGCAGTTGGATCATTCACCACTACTGTATAACTGATGCCAGCATTGAGAGGAATTTTCAGTTTAGGGAATACTAACAACTTGGTGGATAAATGATTTTTTTTATTAAGGGCACCATAGGCCACATAGCTACGTTCTTTACTCAGGCTGAGAAGAAAATAGAGAGCTTTGTTTTTAAGCCTGGTTAGTTTTTAAGATGCTGAGCATTTTTTCCTGTTAAATCATGTGCTAAACTTGAAAGATGATACACTATGTGTTGTAGGGCAGAGAGTGCACTCTACTGGACAAATTACGCTAATGCAAAAAGTTGGGCATTCCTCTAGGAATATGCAAGTTAAAAGCTATGAAATCCTTCCCAGTAAAGTGCAGAAGTGCTTTTATATGGAACCACAAAAACATGCGGCTAGAGGAAGCTGTAGGTCCATAAGTCAGTCATTTTGCTTCAGAGCAGAGACCCTCATATTAACTGTTAGAGGGGGCATTGCAATTGAAATGTGACGTCACTAGAATCACTGACGTCACTACCTTGTCCCTGTCTTCTCCTCTTATCACTCTGATTAAGAATTGCTACCTGTCTTGATTTTCAAAAGAGAATCCTGATTTTGAGGATGCCTGGCATTGTAAGTAAGGCTGCAAGGACAAAGACAGCATCCCAAGCTGTCTTTGAAGCTGACACAGGGTACGTCTACACAACAAAAAAATACCCGTGGCAGTAAGACTCAGAGCCCAGGTCAACTGACTCAGGCTCGCAGGGCTACAGCCTGAACCCAAATGTCTACATTGCTACTTTTAGCCTCACCGCATGAGCTCCGCAAGCCCACCACACTTGACTTGAGCTCTGAGACTCTGTGCTGACATACCCATAATGTCATGACACTGGGATGCAACGAGTAGGCTAGAGGACAAACATTAAAGACAATAAGAATGCTTATACACAGAGCCTTTCATTGGAGGAGTTCAAAACACTTACCGCCTCACAAGACCCCTCTGAGACACTGAAGTGTTATTATCCCCATTGTATAGATGGGGAAACTGAGGCACGGAGTAGTTGTGTGTCTTGCCCAAGATGACATGGAGACACATAAAATAAGGACCAAATAAGGAAAATAAAAGGGCACATTAAGTGGGTTTGGAACAAGGTGGGTGCAGGGGATGAGGAGATTATTTAGAGACACACTGACCTGTACACTGTTTAGGTTAACAGGAAAAGTTGAAAAAAATAATACATTTAAAAAACTAAAGCTTACTTGGTGGAAGAGGCTCATCAATAGTTGGATAGTGATGGTGGTCGGGCCTCAGGGAAGGAAGCTGGCTGACTGGCTGAGAATTATGGAGTAAAGGACAATCACCTATGGACAAGATATTCAAGATATTCATATTCATTCATTGTTTTGGCAAAAAGTGGTTTAAAATACACTACTGTAAAACAAGTGACCCCCAACAAAAACAAAAAAAACAGGGCAGGCAGCCATGTGGTGTATTAGCTGCTATGGCTTATTCATATGTCCAGGCACGGTTTTAATAATAACTTACATGGCAAAGAATTATTAAAATAATGCAGACAAGGATCAGATCTTGGGCTTGAGAACATAATAAGAAATGATGGGCTAGATTCTGGACTCATTTACTCTAGATTTACACCAATGTAAGTGAGGAGAATCAGGACTGATGTCTGAGAAGTACTTCATAAATACTACCAAGTGCAAGGTTTTGGGAGTTCCTGCTGGAGCTTGGCAGGACAACACAAAATCCCAGCTCCAACCTTGGATTCACTCCATCTAAATGCTGAGAGCTGCTTTCTTTGCTATTACAAAAGCCTCCTTTAGAGCAAATCCACAAGAGTGTATGTGAAGTGGTGTGGCAGGATTTTGCAGTCCCTGCAATGCAGAAGGCCTGCATCTGCCGTACTTTTAAAGTCATGGAAACTAGAATGTAAACAGTTCAAAATTCAAACTGTCAAGTTTAAGTGGAAGGTGGGGAGAGTGAGAGAAGGATCAAAAACATGGGAGAAAGGTGGGATGAGGAGAGCAAAAGATAAGAAGACACAGAAAAGAAGGAACCTGAGATAAAGAGGGGGGGAGACCTGAAATACAGAAAGAGAAGAAGAGGCTGATACTGTAGATGGGGCAGAGGAAGATTTTTTGAACACTATATTGTATTAAATATGTACCTATATACAGACACCCAAATGAAAACTGTACATATTTCCATCCTAGTGTCCTGGTGATGTGAATAAATTACTCAGCATTTTTGATGTCACTAGAATCCCTTCAGGAACTACAACTTTATTGTGGGGAGGCCACATTATTCCTTATGTTAGAATTGAATGTGAGCACTTGGAACTCATACTTTTGCACTTCACGGGTTCTAGAATTCAGAGAATATTTGCCCCAGTCCTTTCTTAAAATCTTGCAGATTCAGAATTATATACTGTATCCCACTGCTGGTCACTTTTTCAAGCTGTGTGACAATAGTTTTCCTACTGAAACCTTCAACTCCAGACAGCATACATCATTTACAGTGTGTATAAAACAGATACAATTAAAATCCAAGGTAAGCTTAGAAACAAAATGATATTTAATGTTTGTGATATTGCCAGAAAATTATACCACTGTATTGAAAAAAAGAAAAATAGGATAGAACTGTACAAATAAGCTCACCTCAGTGTATGTTGACTGGTTTAGCCACCTTTCATGTCTAAATCTTACCACTCTATAAAAACGAGCTATATCTTGCCATCAAAGTATAATTTTTTTTAAAAAGTCATCTAAAATATTTTCCCCCTTAAACTGCCAATATGTAGAATATAAATAATGCAGAAAGGAATTTTATATGTGAATTTAATACAAACACTTTTGTTTGTTAAAAAAAAAAAAACCTTGCACCATTCACTAATGAGAAAATTTACCTGGACAAAATGTAGGTAAAGTTACCCACGCACCTGGGTGCTCTGATGATATCACAACCCTCTGAAATGTCTTCATTAAAGCCTCTAATAAGAGTACAGACACATCTCACAGTTACATGTGCCCCCACTCTGAATACAAAGTAGAATTATTTTAAATTACTATGCAGTGCTGCAAACACATCTGTAATAATTTTTACATTTTCCTGTTGCTACAGTTATGTCACCAATTGCCAGATTATCAATCTGCATTTCTTTACTTACCTCACCACAATTGACTCCCCCTAGTCAAGTTACTTACGCCAAGCCAGGTGAAGCATGGGGTGTCAGTCACTTGGAGCAGATGGAGGCGACCATATCTACTGTACTTTTAATAACCACCAAATAAATTAAACAATATGATCAACTATTGAAACATCTCACCCAATATTAGAAGAACATGGTGAACTAACCAGTCATGCTGTCCTTCTCTTGTATTCTCTCTCTACTAGTGAAAGTAAAGCTACAGTGAACATTCTACAGTGCCCTTTAAATATACTGAAGGGACATCTCCAGAAATCTGAAGCTTAATACCGGAGCACTGCTGAATCCATTTTTATTAGGGCACAAACTCTGTTCTCTTTCTCTGTATATACACACATCACAAAACAAACAAAAAAGCCACGCACGCATCCATATGCACACACATACACAAATACTGCCTACACCGAAAGAGCCTCATATACAGTGAAGAATGCCCATGTTACTGGGTGTTTCTCTCATCTCTGTTGCCGTGTAGTTCTGGGAATTTTGATTCTTTGGACTAGATCCTGCACTACAGAGCAAATAATTAAGGGTATGCAGTACATAAATGTTTGAAAGGAGGCCCCAAACTGGCATATCCAGGACCTCACCACGGTAGGGAGATCCTCTGGTGGCATAGTGACTCATGCACTCCTCCTGTTTCGGTTGGAGTAGGGGGAAGGATGGTATGGCTGGGGCCGGTGATCCCTCATGCAGCCATGGTGAGAAGCTGGTGTAACTCAGACTGGAGGAACATTCTAGCACAAGATTAGGGAACACAAGGACTATCTTTACAACCCCTCTTTTTACCTTTGCTGCACACACTGTGGCTGTAGCCAAGCATCTGAGCTTTTACTTTTTCAGTCTCAAAAAAACAGTACACAAGCTGAAGAAAAGACAAGTGACCAAATTCACTGGAGTAAACCAAGTGACGCTAGGGAGGAACTGAACACAAGGAATTGAAGTGTTCACAAAAAAAAAAGAGCTAAACAACTACGATGACAACATAAACAGACAACGATATATCTCTACATACAATATACCTACAGAGATGTGTGGTGATGGGAACTGTATTTGATAGTTATGCATCCAAGGAAATATGATCTGTCGCATGTGAAATCTGAGGTTGATTTTGGTGAATGTAGGTGGAGAAGGTTAGGCAATTGGGTTTATAACAGAAAGTTGACTCAACCTAAACTAGAAAATACTAGGACTTCTCCATAATATATTCTCTGTGTGTACGGATGTATATATATATTACATACACACACATAGTGGGCCAGATCCTCAGTTGCTGTAAATCAGTTGATTTACACCAGTTCTGGATCTGCCCCTTCATAAAGACACATAGATCTCCTTGTCATTTGTAAGCACACAAGATATGTAAAACTGAAAAATCCCTTGGAAGAAGGGACAGACTGGTAGAACTGGTGATCCTAATTTTGACCGGATGTGTAAGATTCTTAATTTATTATTATACTTTTTAACAGAAACTGACGATAGAAATGCTGATCTCTGATTTTTTTTTCAGCACAGCCTCAATTATCCAACCCCCCCCAGTACCTGATACTGGTCATGTCTCCCATATATTTATTAATAATACTGAGAATTCCTTTTTTATCTGCAACTTCGATTATCTGATGCCTCTGCTGACATCCAGATAATCAAGGTTGTTCTGCATATTGAGTCTCAGAATCTAACCTTCTCTTCTGTTGCTCGGACCTGCTACTGGGGACTCTAGAGTCTCAGTTGCTCTTTGTGGATTCCCACCATGAGCTACGAGTTCATCTGGCCACTGGGCGGAGACATCCACTTGCTCCCTGTCCAGTTCAGGGCTTTGCACTGAATCTGGCACTGACTCAAAGGCACTGTTTTCCTCTTCCTCATCATCCTGTGAGGAAAAGACCGTGCTCTCAGAAATCTTTGCACTGTCAACAGAGGAGAAACGGGTATGGCTGGAAAAGCGATTGTTACTGTCGTAACAGGAAGGGCTGTAGCAGGAGGTACTGTAGCAGGACGTACTGTAGCAGGAAGTGCTGTAACAGGATGGGCTGTAGCAAGAGGTGTCACACTCATTGTCCCCATACGGTCTGGAACTTGATTCACTCTCGCTTCCAGTCATGGGATGTTCCCCATCCAACAGCTGCTCATTTAAGTCTGAGAGATGCTCAATTGAGGTGCTGCGGGGCACAGTCCCCCGGCTGAAATACTCATCAGTTCCACTTTCAGGCGGAGGATCTGCCGCTAGCGTCTCAGACTCGCTAACCATATCCTTCTCTGACATTTCCTTGACTGTTGACTCTTCGTCATTCTCGCCGCCTCCCTGCTCCTCCTCTCCATCGCTACTCATCTGTGCTGAGGGCAGGCTGTGAAGCAGATTGTGGATCCGTATGTAGTGTGTGCGAGGGGTCTCAGGCTCACCACACGCTGATGCGATCACCGTCTCCAGTTCAGACACAGGCAGGGAGCAGGGCCTGTTTTTCCTCTTCCCTGTTGTTCTTAGCTGCAGCTTGTTGTCTTCTTCCTCCTGGGCTGAAGCCCCTTCCTCATCCTGAATTTTCTCTAGGTCCTTGACAGTCTGTATGTCTGCACTCACCTCATCAATATCTAGAGCTTCTATGCTGGTAAAGATGTTGTCGTGTCCCTGAGTAACAGAATTGACTTTATTATTTTCCCTAACTTCAGTCTCTGGAGGAGGCGTGCAAGCCAGCAGAGCCAGTTGCTCAGAGAGGTCCATAGCACTCAGGGAAGGCAGCACTTCCCCTGGGATGGATTCCAAGGACTCAATAGCATCTGCTGGCACTGCATCAACCTCCCTATTTCCTGCTAGCTCTTCATTTAAGCTGTTCTGGTTGACTTCCCCAGGGCTATCAACATTGACACCATTCACATTGCATCCATTTAGCTGCTCTGGAGCTGTACTTTCTGAGGTCACTGTGCCGGTGCAGGGAGGCTCACCAAGGATTTCCTCTGCAGCGCTGTTCACAGGGCTTTCCTGCAGTTCCGCTGACTCAGGATCTGCACTAATGGAGACTTCTTCATCATCTGCGTGCAACAAGAAAAGGAATTATTCCACTGCTACAAAAATAAATACCCACCTCCACAACATACCTTTCAAGATCTGAACATGCGGTGTATCTCACCCATCATGCGGTGTATCTCATCCAGTGCACTAAATGCCCCAGTAACAATTATGTGGGTAAAATGAGAAAATCACCACACTCTCAAATGAACTCACACAGGAAAATGATTAAAAGACAAAAACACCATATTCACTCATGGGTGAACACTTTTCACAAAACAATCACTCCATATCTGACATCTCAGTCCTCATCCTCTTGGGAAACCTGCACAACACTTTCAAAAGACAAGGCTGGGAGCTTAAATTCATAACTCTGCTAGACACTAAAAATCATGGACTGAACAAAGAGATGAGATTTATGGTTTATTACAACTATTACAACTATGTAATAGTTACAACTGTAACCAACCCCACTTTTTGGTCCTATGACTACAGAGTGTTAACTGGCCACTTCACCTTGAATGGTCTCTTACAATATTTGTTATCTACTTATACTAAACAGTCTGTTCCACCTTATATTTAGCTCTGAGTATCTTTCCCAGACCTGGAGAAGAGCTCCGTGTAAGCTTGAAAGTGTGTCTCTTTCACCAACAGAAGTTGGTCCAACAAAAGATATTACCTCACTCACCTTATCCTCTAACAAGAGTCATTTACTGAATCAGGGGCATAGGTTGTGGGAGCAGAGGCATCCACAGAAATCCAAGAAAATTAAAATAATACATTACAGTGTTACGCAGATAGGTGACTAAACAGATACTGAGACGTTTTGATTTTTCACTAGGAAATCTCTGCACAATGCGTGTAACAATTGGCGGCCTAATCCTGGTAGTGCGTACACTGCTCTCCCTGCTGCAACCTGTGCCAGGACTCCTCCTTCCTGGGAATCCCCATCCAGGACACATTCTTATGGAAAAGGTTCAACCCTTGCTCCCAACACTCACATCTTCTGACATTACTCTTGCCCACCCCACCTCCTCCCAGGGGTTACTCCCTACCTGACATAAAACCTGGGGCTCCTAGCTGCAACCGACGCGCCTTTCACCACCACCCAACTGGCCCAATTATGCCCTGAAGATGAAAAAGTGTTGCACAACAAGCAGGGATCACATTTTCCAACTACTAATATAACTATTTCCTTTCAAAGTAAGCACTCATAGTCTCACAGGGGCTCTGTTACAGAGGGACGGAAAGATTCCCTGGGCAGTACCTTTGGATCCTCACACTGAAATCTAGCATCAAGGTGGCACCACCATTACAGGACTTTCTAATAACTAGAGCAGGCCAAAAAATGAGAACAGCTTTTTTCTGAAAATTTTCATGGAAAAATGTCAAAACCAGAACATTTCCAAGCAGCTCTACTCCTCTTAATGAACATTTTATGCACAGGGTGCTCAAATCCACAGGCCTCTGTGCACATAAAAAAACATAGCTAATCACAAAAGCAAGATACTTGCATTGATTGATGAAATACGGCATGGAAATTAAAATGTGGAAAGCTGAGATCTAAAACTGTGATAACAGCTCCTTCCTCCATCCCATGGTTTCCCTTTCTCTGTTTTGTTATGTATTATTATCTATTTATTTATTTTGCTATTATGATGTTGCCATCATTTCTCACTTAAAATTTTTTATAATCTGGAAAATACCTTTTCCCTTCCCCCCACCGACAATGGTCACAAACACAAGAACTAAATCAGTCTAAAACTATGTGTACCATGTAAAACTAAAACTTGGTGTGTCTGAAGGTTGGATATGACACAATCAGAAACTCTATATGGTGCTATTTTTTTTGCGGCCGTTGGGAGAAGTAGTGCTTAATGTGAGTCCTTGCTGATGCTACAACACTAGAAGAACTCTCTCTATGCTATTCTGATATTGATGTAATGGATTCTTAGTGGTGAGCTATGTGGAATACACTGCAGAAAAAGCATTTTTACAGAGTGACTGCCAATAAATTCTTATTAATGGGCAAGATTGTGACTTGGAATATGTACCCTGTGTAAAGGAGTAAGCATAAGCAAGAACCCCCCCCCCCCCTTATCTCCCTATGTGGGCTAAACACACCTTGGATTGGGGTGGATAGGAGTAAGCAGAGCTACTCTCTCCCTGGAGTAGGTGATGTGGGAGTGTGCAAAAACTCTCCTGGAGTCATTCTAGGGGAGGAGATGGTCCTTTAATAGTGTAGGTCAGTAGTAAATGACTTCACAGTCTAGGAGCAAAGGGAAAGCAGGGGAGGGATTGTGCCTCCTGCCGCGGGGTGTAGCTTATGTACTATCCTTTGCTCATGACCCTGCCTAAAGGCCCAGTCTAGCCCTAAAAGAATTCAAGCCTACGTAGGTGAAAAGAATGTAAACAAAAATTCCAGCTCTCAGAAATAAGGCATTCCTGAAGAAGCCAATACCTGGATGGATAGAAGAAGTTATCTCAAACCGAAACTGCAGCTGTCCGCTGACGTGATCTGTTGGAAGCCTACGTCCCAGAGTGTAGCTGACAACCCTGTCCCTGTAAGAAAGCAAGTACTGTTACAGAGACTGTAAACTCATCCAGTATCTACAGTGAATGGAGAAAGCTGCTGTATCATTCACAAACACCTGACATTTTCAAAGGCAATTCACACTGTATTATTCCAACCAGCAGTGCAGGCATGTCTGAGTGCGTGAGGGAAGGAATAGATGGGAAGGGGGGACCAATGTCTCCAATTACAGTGGAAAGATTCAGTTAAGTTAGTAACCCAGGTTTGCTGGGGTATATGTGGTGGCAAGCTTTCCCTGCCTGATGATCTGACCATGTCAAACTTCTCTTTAGATTCTTGCATTTCCTTCCCCTTTCCTTCTATATCAAATTCAAGCTCTTTGGCTTTGCCTTCAAAGTCCAATACAGCCTGACTCCCCATACCTGCTTTTCTGCTCTCTTCTTTGCCCTTCAAGCTACTCAATTGACTGCCCCTTCATGTCTTCCTCCCACTCCTGTTTCCATGCCGTTGATACACCTATAGCACATCCCTGGGCAGTCATGATGCCTCCACCTTTTCTGTCTTCCAGTCCCTCCTGAAGACACACTTTATCCAAAAGTCCCACAACCCCCCTCATAGAAGAGTGAAACTAGAAAAAAGATGATCTGCTCATTGCCCCCAACTGAAGCTTAGTCAATGTTTGTAAACCACTGAGCGTGAAGAGTGTTAAATACTAATATCTGTATACCTTCTGGAGAAGCACATTTTAATTTCCATTTGGTGCTGCATATGCTCCCAGGGTAGTTTTACGTACATTTATAACTCAAATAAATGAGATTATCCTAGTATTCATGTAAACCTGGTGATTGTGTATTTGTTGTCTCCGTACTTGTAGATATGTCTTTCACTGAGTTTGTTTGCTTCAGGGAACCATTTACAGAGACAAAATAAAGCGAGGTTTGGGACTCACCAGAAAACAAAGCCGTTGCACTCAGCAAGGTCTTTTCCTGGAGAGTCCCACGTTTATAACAAGGAAGTAAATTCTAACTTAAACCAGCATCATTAATCAGAGAAATCCCTGTGAAATAAGTAATTTCATTTGAGCAAGATTATTTGATTACATCATGCTGTTTCAGCCATGGACTTCGCTCTCCTTTTCATAGTGGCAGTGTGATCCGTCAGTAACACAAAAGTCACACAGATAAAAGACTTACCCTATAGCATGTCTCTCCAGCAGGCGTTGCACTGGCATGGAAAGTTTCCCCAAGAAGCGTTTAATGATCGGCCGGCTCTTTGCAAACTTGTCCTTAACTTCTATTTCCAGAACGTCCGTGGGAAGGGAAACAAAGCTGAACTGCTATGATAAAAAAAAAGAGAACATGGAATAAGTGGCTTAGGCATGTGAAGCTTACTAACACAACAGGAAGGTTCAGCAATTAAGCAGTTTCTTAGAACCAAGACAAAACCAATACTAGGGGCATGTCTATGCGGTGATTTAGTGTGTGGCAAGCCAGCGTGCAAGTCTACAGCACTCTAGCTTGACACGTAGTAACTGTACACATGGATCATGCTGCCCCTGCACAAAAAGTTCAATAGTGTGCTTTGACCTACTGCTATTTGAAAAGGGAGAAGATCACAGTGCACTGTAGAACTATTAGTGTGTGGTACCAAGGTCCACTTAGTGTGAGTAAGGTCCACTTAGTGTGTGTTGTTCTGTAGATTCACACCCCACCTTACCATGCACTAAATTACTGTACAGACAAGACCTCTTGGATCCCAGGGTCCAAACCTGTAAGATACTGAGCCCTGAGTCAGAGGGGCTGAGTAGGAACAACTCACAGGAAATGCTCAACACTTTGCAGGATCAGGCCTCTATAGTTTGCAGGAAGTGGATACTAGCAGGAATTATGCACATTAATACCTTCATTATTTACACGCCAGTCATGCTCATTGGGCCAAATTTTGCATTTCTCCAAAAATTCAGTGCCAGCGAAGCCCTTACTTTCCAGAAAAAAAAGAAAAAAGAAGTTGCAAGTAAATACAATTCTGCTGACAAACAATGTGAATATCTAGGTGTAAGATATATAGTAATAGTATAATGTTCAGGAACACTGCTTTTGCAAGTGTGAAAAATGATGATAGCAATTTACTCACAAACCCATCGTGTCTCCCATGCTATCCCAATTCGACGTGCTGGCTTCACCACCCAAGTATCTGTAGTCTTCATTTTATCCAAAGGACAGTTACAGAACAGGCAGAGACACAACCTCCACATAACCTGCCTCCACAGTGTGCCTGAGCCCTGAATTGGCAGGACAATGCCAGAGCAGAGAGAATAGATTTGTTTTCATGCCCCTTCAGTGTTTCATCTCTTTGCCAAGACTGCAACATCAGTGACAGTGCCAATTGTGGTGGTGCTTTTGTGCTATGGACCATTGTCTAGGACCCAGAGTGATACCATGAACTTATTTCACACTGGCCCCCCAAGAGCCATCGGATATTATTAATTCTCTAGGCCAGATTTGAGCCAGAGAGAAGGGTGCTCAGCTACATATTTTTCAATCACGTTTACACGTGTACATAGCACTGTAAAAAGCATTTGGACAGTGCTAAATGCAAACTTGAGAGTGGGGGGGTAAACTTCAAGCTAGAGAGCACAAGGGGGCATGCACAGTTTCCATCCTTCGGACAATCAGGGCAGCTGCACCAGAGGGGACATTGGCCCCTGTGAAGGAGAGCTTTGAAAAACAGTCAAGGCTCTGTCGGTGCCCTAACAGCAGACACTGCCCAGGAGGAATACCCAATAGCACGTTTCCTGGAGGGGCTGGCTTTGCCCTTTCCTGGATATTGGAATTCACTTCTGGGGCAGTACAGCCTAGCTCTGGGTCCCTACCAATGTGGGAGTTGATGGTGGCTTGCCCACTGCACCTCTGCTCCAAGTGGATTTACTGCTTTTAGTGAGTTATAAACTAAGGGAGGGAATCTCACCTAGGTGTGTAAATGACTTTGAATGAACATGGGATTGTTGCTTGATTTCACCTAAAAGACCACTATCCACACAGTATCAAAGTGGTGTATTAAATGAGTCCTAAGGTGCTTGAAATAATTATCTAACACTCCCACTGTCAATGGCAATCCAGGTTATTAAGGCTTGAAGTTAAGCGCTGAATTAGGGCCTGAGTACCTACAACTCCTAATGAAGTCAAAGGGAGCTGCACCTCCGAAAATGAGGTCTTCAAGTTACTTACAAGTGAGCAGCCAGAATGTTTGATCTGCAAAACTGCAGTGTGTGTTTGGCAAGAATTGCAAGTAAGCCGAGAAATAAAACTAAAAGAAGTGCTAACACATCTTTTTGTCCACACTTTCTACACATTTTCTGCAATATATTAGAAAAGAGAGTAAATTTTGCAAAGCAGAGAGCAGCAGATTCCAGGCATATTGAAAATTGTATAGTGTCTTTGTTATTATTATTACTATTGTAAGAGATTGATATAGCCCCAAGGCAACTGGCTGCTCCATGACACTCATAAGGAATTCAGAACAGGGGAATTAACCAGTAGATGAATGACATTATAGCAAATGCCTCAATTTGTCATTTAATAAAGTTGTAAATGATTAGGCTGTTGACACTTTCAGTACAAAAAAATCTCCAAGGATTAGAACATGTGTGCACACATGCAAAATAAAGATCAATCATTCTTAAATGGAAAGTACAAACTGCATTAATGATTTAAATGATCCCCTCATCATTAACCCTTTCTGATATCATGTAAATCTGAGGTAAATCAGAATTAACATGAAAATATATGTCTTTGACTTTGGAGTGGAACCAGTCCTGATAGTTCCATTCTTATTCAAGGAGGAAAGTGAACATTGTACAGGCGCATTATCAGTAGCTTTGCAAGGGTAGGCAATGAAGTTAGGAGCCTAAATACCTCTGAGGATCTGGGCCACTGTGTGTTAGGTAAGATGTGCTGAAAGCAACCCAGGGAAGTAACTCTATTTGCAAGGACAGGCACTGGTCTGAGAAAAAGTTAAGATACAGTGAAGTCTCATCGATCAAACAATATTTTGATCAAGTTAGGGGACAACCATGCCATAATCTGGTCCCCTGGCATGACTGTAGTTGCCGTACTGAGGGCCTCTTCTGACTCATAGACTTTAAGGCAAGAAGACCATATAGTCTGACCACCTACACATCACAGGCCACAGAACCTCACCCACTCACTCCTGTAATAGGCCCATAACCTCTGGCTGAATTACTGAAGTCCTCAAATCATGATTTAAAGACTTCAAGTTACAGATAATCCACCATTTACTCTAGTTTAAACCAGCAGGGAACCTGTGCCCCATGCTGCAGAGGAAGGTGAACCCTCTCAAGGTCTCCATTAATCTGAACTGGGGGAAAATTCCTTCCTGACCTCCCTAATATGGTGATCAATTAGACACTGAGCTTGTGAGCAAGACCCACCAGCCAGACACCTGGGAAACAATTCTCTGTAGTAACTCAGAGCCCTCCCCATCTAGAACCCTATCTCCAGCTTTTAAAGATATTTGCTAATAGCAATAGTGGATGGGCCACATGCCACTGTATCCAATCTCATCATAACATCTCCTCCATAAACTTATCAAGCTCAGTCTTGAAACAAGTTAGATTTTTTGCCCCCACTGCTCCCTTGGAAGGCTGTTCCAAAATTTCACTCCTCTGACAGAAACCTTCCTCTAATTTCAAGCCTAAACTTGTTGGTGGCCCAGTTATATCGATTTGTTCTTGTGTCAACATTGGCCCTTAACTTAAATAACTGTTCTCCCTCTCTGATGTATTTATAGAAAGCAATCATATCTCCCCTCAATCTTTGTTTTGTTAGGTTAAATAAGCCAACATCCTTAAGTCTCCTTTCATAAGATAGATTCTCCATTCCTTTGATCCAGGAGTGGCTCCAGGCACCAGCGTACCAAGTGCGTGCCTGGGGTGGCAAGCCGCAGGGGGCAGCCTGCCAGTCGCCGTGAGGGTGGCAGTCAGGCTGCCTTCATCAGCATGCCTGCAGGAGGTCCACCGGTCCTGCAGTTTCGGTGGCGGGTACGCCGAAGGCGCGGGACCAGTGGACCTCCCACAGGCATGCTGATGAATCTGCGTTACCAGCGGACCTCCCACAGGCATGCCGCCGAAGGCTGCCTGACTGCCGTGCTTGGGGCGGCAAAATACATAGAGCCGCCCCTGCTTTGATCACCCTAGTAACCCTTCTCTGTACCTATTCCAGTTTGAATTCATCTTTCTTAAACATGGGAGACCAGAATTGCACACAGTGTTCCAGATGAAGTCTCACCAGTGCCTAGTATAATGGTAATAGCACTTACCCATCTCTACTGGAAATACCTCCCCTGATGCACCCTAGGATTGCATTAGGCTTTTTCACAGCCACAGGATATTGGCAGATCATTGCCATCCTTTGATTGACCAATATCTAGGTCTTCCTCTTCCTCTGTCATTTGCAACTGATAAATCCCCAGCTTTCAGCAAAAATTGTTGTTAGTCCCTAAGTGCATGACCTTGCACTCTGCACTATTAAATTTCATCCTATTACTATTACTCCAATTTTCAAGGTTCTCCAAATCTTCTTGTATGATATTCTGGTCCTCTTCCCTTCCAGAAATACCTCCCACATTTTGTATCATCTGCAAATTTTATCAACACATTTCCCCTTTTCCCCCCAAGACCAATCTTTGAGGAACTCCATTCACAACCTCCCTCCAGCCTGACAGTTGACCTGTCAGCATGTAGTCTCCCCTTTAACTAGTTCCTTACTTACCTTTCAATTCTCATATTAATCCTCATCTCCTCCAATTTAACTAATAATTTTCCACATGGAACTGTATCAAATGTTTTACTGAAATACAGGTAGATTAAATCTATTGCATTTTCTTTGTCTAGAAAATTGGTTAACTTCTTCAAGAAAGAGATCAGGTTGGTCTGGCCTTTTGTAAAACCATTTAGTAGTTTATCCCAATGACCTCTACGTCTTTAATGACTCTGTCTTTCAAAATGTGTTCTAAAACCTTGCATACAATTGAGGTCAAACTAACAGGCCTGTTGTTTCTCAGATCACTTTTTTTCCTGTCTTAAATATAGGTACAATATTTGCATTTCCCAGTCATAGGGTATGACCCCTGAGTTCACAGATTCATGAAAAAGTCTTGCTATTGGGCTTGCAATTTCATGTGTCTTTTAATATTCTTGGATGAAGATTATCCTGACACCCTGATTTGGTTGCATTAAGCTATTTGAGACTGGCTTCCTCCTTGGATGTGGCAATTTCTGCTTCCATATCCTCATTTCCATTAGCCATCCTGTCACTG